TTCAGCCAATTACTCCCAGCTCCCTAGCCTTGCACCCCAGAACTGTACTGTCTTGCCCTCACCCGAAGCCTGATCAGTATAAGTTATTACACAGTCTGCCTCTCCCTCAACGTGGAGAGGAAACATGCTAGCCTTCGTAAACTGATCTGAGATTTCCCAAGCACTTCAACCAAAATACACTGTTTTAGGTAAAATATAAAACAGATTTATTAACTACAGAAGATGGATTTAAAGTGATTATAAGTAGCAAGTGTAGAGATCAAAGTTGGTTATCTAAGAAATAAAAGTAAATTCGCAGTCTGAGTTCTACAAATTCAACAGGATTTGAATCAAGCAGTGGCTCACCCTGACAGATGGTACAGTTCCTCAATACCCAGACTGGGACTCCTTTTCAGCTTGGGCCCACCCTCCCCAGTTCAAAGTCTTTATCCTCCAGATGTGTTTCCAGGTGTTGAGTTGTGTGGGGAGTGTGGCCAAGTCATGATATCACTTCCCCTCTTTTATAGTTTCTTCCAGTTTGCTGGAAAGATCTTTTCTTATGACGTGGGTCAAGCAGTCTCCATTGTATACATGCTCTCGCTCAGAAGTCTCCATTGTATACAGTTCCTGGGATAGTGGATTCGTTCCTTGATGGGTGTTGATGAGCCAATAATGCTGTCTGGCTACTCCAGGAGTAGCCAACCTGAGCCTACGAAGAAGCCAGAATTTACCAATGTACATTGCCAAAGAGCCACAGTAATACATCAGCAGCTCCCCATCAGCTCCCCCGCTGCCAGCACCTCCCACCCACCGGCATCCCGGCCCCCTCCTTCCGTCCCTGCACCTCCTGATCAGCTGTTTCGTGGCGTGCAGGAAGCTTGGGGGGTGGGGGAGGAGTGAGGGCACTGCAGGCTCGGGAGGGGGCGGGAAGGGGTGGAGTGGGGGCAGGGCCTGTGGCAGACCCAGGGGTTGAGCCATGAGCACCCCGGGTCTATTGGAAAGTTGGTACCTGTGGCTCCAGCCCCAGAGTCGGTGCCTATACAAGGAGCCGCATATTAACTTCTGAAGAGCTGCATGTGGCTCCGGAGCCACAGGTTGGCCACCCCTGGGCTACTCCATTGTTATACCTGAAAGGCTGGTTGAGGTTGTTCCCAACCTCACAACATATCTCAGTAATACACATGTAACAAAACTTCATAGCTTTACATACAATGATAGAGCATGCAATCCAAAAGGATATTAATGTTCAACAGATCAAGACTTTTAAAATGATACCTCATAAGGCATACTTTGTATAAAAACATCATAATTATGTCAGTGGTGAATATGGGGGTTCCAGGTTGTGGCTTTGAGATACAGAGTACCATAGAGAGTAACTTTGTTTTGTTTGCTTTTTCCTCTTTTCTCTTCAGTCTGGAAAAATCATTGTATTTAACTTTTTTTTTATTATTATTATTTTTTGTTTTTTGCATTTTGGAACATTTTTAAAAAATTGTGTCTTGCATTAAAAATCCCCTTCCCAAAGATGAAAGGCCAGTGTCTTCACCATGCTTTCATTTTCTAGATGCTCCTCCTCACTCGTTGAGTCCTCTTCCTTGAAAGCATCGTACTTACCACCTTTGATTCAATGTAAACTAATATATTTAGCTGAATTTTTAAGTTTGTTTCTGAATGTCTCCCACTTTGGACAAGAGATGAGCTGGAACTGCCAAGTTTGGATCTAGTTCTCAACTTTTTCAAAGCCTGTAGTTCTGATCTGGGGTTTTGGTTTGAGGCTCATGTCTTTACATAGCCATATGGTACTGTCTGATGGTTTCCCAAGTCTAAAGCTTTGGGAAATCATTAAAATTAGTTTTATGGGAAAGTTAGTACATATAAAGAACTGATTGGGCATCTCCTTTCTGACAAAATGATAGGTGGCAGCACCAGACCTGGCTAAAAATGTTGGCACCTTTTCCTTGCTCTGGATGTGGGACTTTCTCTTACTAGAGTTTCCTTTCTCACCAGAAGCAGCTCCTACAACTGCTTGCCTTATTACCAACCTGTGTTTTTCCCAACTGTTTTTTTTCTGCCCACATCTTCAAAATGAGTTGGCCTAGAAATTTCATGTTGGTTGTGTTTTTGTTTGCTGTGCTGAGAAGTGCTTTTTTAGCCAAGAGTTTTTCAAAAGTGGTAGTTTAAATTTAGTTTCATAAGTCCATAATTAGTTATTTAAATAAGTGGACTGATATTCAGAAGTGCTGAGCACTTCAGCCACTTTTTTAGAAGGTGATGGGAGTTTGTGTGCACAGCACACTTAAGAAAATCAGTCTATTTATTTAAGCTCCTAAATGTACTTTAGAGCCTAAAGTTGGTCTCCTATCTTTTGACACATTCGGTCTCTGTAGGTTTGGTGGTGGAGAATCACGTGTCTTAAAAGATGTTTGGTAACGTTTTCAAAAATGGAAGAGAGAACCCATTTCAGTGGCAAGTTATCAAGAAAACCTTTCAGAGATGTTAATGAGTTTCAAGATTGTGGTACGAAGATTGACAGTTTCTCACTTTTTTTTTTGGTCCTAGACGCATGAACAAACCTTTGTAAACTAGCCACTGCTAATTTCTAATATAGTTAACTGTCCAAGTGAAGTTAACTGAATAGTATAGGTGAAACTTGTTTATGGCTCTGCAGGAGAGGGCATCCCAAACAGTATGTGCCGTCAGAATATTTAAAAATGAAAAAGTCCGAACTGTGTATAACACAAAAGTATTTACCAGACAAATGTCCATGTATTGTCATTTCAATCGGATGGTTTTTGTTTGTTTTGAACATTAAAGGGGTTACTAGGTTATGATTCAGGTTTCTTGTCCCATGAATCCACAAGGACAAGGTAAATATAATATGGATGAATAAGCAAATCTTTCAATAAAGTTGTATGTTTGGAGGAGTTAACAGTCTTCCTTTATTCTGCCTGCAGAGTTTTTGCTATTTTACATCATGTGCAGATATTGTCTATAAACTGTAAGATGAATGTTTAAATTATTTTGACACGATGATTTTATCACTTTAGACACCACCATAAGAAATACACTTTGTCCAGAGATGCTTTAATTTCCTGGCAAAGGACAGAGCTGAAGCACAAAGCTTTGTGTTTACTTATGTTACATGGTAGAAACCTAGTAACTAAAGGAATACCTTTCCCTTGATTTGCATCAGAAACTAAGGATAGGAGAACCTTAAGTAAGGTGCTTGCCTTTATTCACAGCTTGAATGTGCAATTATGGAAATTCCTGTTGATAGTAAATGTTTAGATTCTATAGATATCCCAGACCAAATTAAAAAATACTTTTGTGATCCATACAAATACGTTGAGTTCATTTGAGTAACCTACCAAAAATAAGATTTGCCTTATTGACCAATTTAGGATTGTGTGAGCTTTTTAACCTCTCTCCTGCTTTTTTTAAAAATAAGTAAATAATTTGAAGTAAATGTAATGCCTGTGAAAAGTGCCATATTGGCACTACTGGAGACTGAACTCATCTTTGGATAGGGTTACCATACGTCCGGATTTTCCCGGACATGTCCGGCTTTTTGGGCCTCAAATCCCCGTCCGGGGGGAAATCCCAAAAAGCCGGACATGTCCGGGAAAATAGGGAGGTAGGGCCCGAGCACCTTCCAGTAGTGCATTACAATTTGACTACACATCTGTCATGTATTGTTCCCCTCCACCCCCATTCTCTTCCCAGAGGGAGAAGCATGTTCAATGGAGTGGAGTGTTTTTGTAAGGTGTGTTTTATAAATATACCTGTTACTGTGAGTTTATGTAAGAGAAGGCAAGGTCAAAGAAGTGTGCCTTGCATTTGCAGAAGAAAGTGGTGAGGTTTTGTGATGGTCCTTATTTCCTGGAGGAACCAAGGGTATCAGCTGTTGTGGATGCTTTCCATTGGGAGACCACCAATGCATCATATAGATCCCTGAAAGGCTGTCGAATGTTAACAATTTTCATTTGTTTTCAATCTGAGCTGTAGTTAAATTGGTACGCTAGTGGTAAAAGGGTCTGCATTCCATTACCAGTCCTCTAGGCCTTCATCTTCCCCTGAAATACACTTCTGTGAACATTTCCTATAATGCTTCTACTTACAATTAATTCACAGAACCTGGAAAAAATGTGCTGAAGTGAGCAATAGCCAAAAATAGAAATCTGAAGAAAATTAGAGGAACTAGCTTTAGTTCATTATTCACAAAATTAACAGGTTGCCATAAACTGAAAAGTTGTTAGCTTCAATTCTTTATGGTATTGTTAGTATTCTGACTCCCAGGCCTGTGCATTAACCACAAGACTATCTAATTATTTTCTATCTCTACTTTATTTAAAAAAAAAAAAAAAAAAACCCCAGTGTTTTAGTTGATTCTGGTAAATGATACTAGAGCTACAGACTTTCTTCTAATATGTATAAAACTTGCTGTTTGTGCATATTATTCCACACTGATCCACCTAGATTAATTTAATACAGCATTTTATTTAAAATAAATAAAATATTGGCTTGTATTGTCATAGTAAAATATTTAGAAAATGTGTTATTTTCCAGTTCCTACTACAGACTTATTTTGTTTCCACCCACTACAACGAAGTCTTCGTGTTCATTTCTGACAGTTGTTATACTGCTTTAAGACACAAATTGTCAATCAGTGATAAAGCATGCCGTGACACTTGTAATGGTTCACTCTTAAAATATTACTAAAAAGCAATATATTTTGAAAGATACGTGCTGCTTGTCTACTCATGAGAAATGGATGTGATTTAGTTGTCTATTGGGAACTTGTCCTACCAGATATTTTGATTCTTGTGCATCTCTAATCTTAACTAGAGAATGTAATCTCTTCTATCAAACAATGTTTAGACATAGAAAAGCCATTGTATGACACACAGCAACAGTGGATGCCTGTTTATCACTGTAAGCCTTCTCTTGTAAGATTTGATGCAGCCATAAGTCTAACACTTCACTATTCTCTTCCTTTTTGCATTCATTCTCTTGTGCTACAGAGCATCAGAACTACTTTGGAATTGATGAAAATCTAGGTCCTGTTGCAGTCAGCATCAGGAGAGAGAAGGTTGAAGATGCTAAGGAGAGAGAAGGATCTCAATTCAACTATCGTATAGCTTTCAGGACAAGTGAGGTACTGTTTATTGAGTGCTGTTTTGATGGGGAGAAGGAGGTAAAAGAGAAGTTGACCCTTAGAACACTGGCTGTTTTCTCATGCTAGCATCGATCTGGGAATTGACTTTTAAAAGATTTTACAGATGAATACATTTGCAGGGAGGTGTGTGTTTTGGTAGCATTAATACATGTTGGAGCTAATTCCTGAAGCAAAATTTTGCTTATTTTCCTGCTTCCTGAAGTGCTTCCTTCCTTTGGTTGGGAACCATTTGAGAACAGTTGAATTGGTTGCAGGTACATATCCAGAGGGACCCATAAGGGAACAGATGGAGAACCAGAGAGGGCAGACAGCAAACAAGGGAAGATAAGTTTAGACTGAGGTGCTTCTGGAGAGTATTAGGTTTCTTGTGGCAGGAAGGAAATTTGGGACAAAAGGGAAGGATGAGGAACTTGAAGATGTTTACTATTCCTCAAAGTATGTTACAAGTGTATAGTTTCAAAATGGCTGTTAAAAATGCTATCTTTTCAAAAGTGATGTACTATATTTGCGGTCTGGAATAACAATGGGATACCAAATCTCTTCCGAGTACGTGGTTTATGGAAGGAGAGGGAATGCTAATACCTTACTGAAGCAAAAATAGTGGATCCTGTTTGAAGTAGAAGTGGCCTTTGATTGTATTGGAGGTATACTTATCAAACCTGATCAAGACTTTCACATTCAGGCTAGTTCATATTTTTTTCCCAGACTGGTTCATTCTTCCTTTATCACAGCAATGAGTCCCATGGATCCTATTTTTAGTGGTGATTTGAAGGAAAGTTTCAAAATTCAAAATATTTTGTTTAAAAAAAGTCATAACAAAACTTTGTCATTCTGGGGTACAATCTAGGCCAGTGAGGGGCTGTCACCACTTGCCCTGCAATCTGGGGTGCCTCAAAATGCTTTGCTGCTGTAGCTCCCAATGTGGGCTTCTGACAAACAGCCTGCCAGCATGCAGGAAACACCCAGAAAGTCTGTGTATAGGCACAGCCCTGGTCCAGCAACTCTGACCCCAGCAGCCTGACAGCAAACACTAGCCACGCTCTGGCTTCCAGAAGCCATGATTACTATTTGCAGGGTGACCCCAATACATGCCCAGTCCCAGATTTCCCCAAAAAACATGTGCTCTGCACTGTCCAGTCCTCCCCTGGACAGTCCAGATACATTAGGTCCATTGCCCCTCGAAGGGGATCAGGAGAGCATTCAGTCACAAAAACATTTAGATTTTTGGGGATTTTTTTGTTATGATGAAACAATTTGGCGAATTCAGCATGAACTTGCTAAATGTTTTAGCCAACCCAAATCTGCATTTTTTTTTAGTGAAAGTTTTGCCCAAAAATTTTTGCCCAGCTCTATTCCGGTTAACTGTAATGTTCAGGTTTCCACTGTACATATATAATGTGTTGTAGACTACTTAGGCTTTGTCTTCACTATTAAAAAGAAGTGTGCGGGGGGAGAGGGGGGTGGTTTTGTTTTTGTTTTTTGTATTTTTTTTTATTTCAGGATAACTAATACACACTAGCTATTCTACTGTAAACTCTTAGTAGAGATGAGACACTGTAGTTGTCACTGTGAGATCAACACTATATTTCTGCCTGTGGCTATGCTACCTATACTACCTCCAGTAAGGATTTATCTACACTGCAACTGGGAGGTGTGATAACAGCACGGTTGGGTGTACCCCAGCTATCTCTGATCGAGATCAAAAGCTAGATTAAGTAATGATGATAGTGAAGCAATGGCCACACAGGCAGCTGCTGGGCTAGTCCTGCCTGGATAGGACCCTGAGTACATACTCAAGCAGTTGCTGCCCATGCTGCTGCAGTTTCACTGCTATTGTTACTGAAGCTAGCTTTGATCTAACTAGATCAGGATACGTCTCTGTGTGCTGCACTCACATCTCCTAATCTGCAGTGTAGACATACCCTAACAGTACAGTGCCTTGTCCAACTAGGATTTTACAGTGGGATGGCTAATGCACATTAATTATCCTGCTGTAAAAAGGCACACCTTTTTTTCAATGAAGACACAGCCTTAGTAACAAAAGAAATGAGTTCTGGATTTGAGTATCAGCCCAAAATTTCTGTTTTCTAGTAATTCTACGTAGTCTAGTGTTACTATATTTAACTTTTGTTTAGAAGTTACAAATGTCTGTTTCCTCTTTAATGTTTAAGTTGCTTTACTAACCCTTGCAATATCCTCAATGAATTAAACATGTCTCCTCCCCACCCCTCGTCCCCACTTCAGAGCCTGAAGATTGTATTTTAATAGCATAGTGTTAGAATTATAAATATTCAATGAGGTCTTCCACTCTTGCTGCAGCTTACTACATTGAGAGGAGCAATATTAGAAGATGCCATACCATCTACTGCGAGACATGGCACAGCACGAGGCCTGCCTCTCAAAGAGGTACTGGAATATGTAATACCAGAGCTGAGCATTCAGTGCCTGAGGCAGGCTTCCAGCTCACCCAAAGTCTCTGAACAGCTGCTTAAACTGGATGAACAAGGGGTAGGTAGTGTGTGATTTCTCTCTGAAGATTATCCACTTGAAAGAACATGTACCTTTTCCTTCAATCTTTTGTTGGTGTTGTAAATAAACACGAATTTGTGATGTAATATATTTTCTCTTGAACAGCCATTTGCTCTATTTTCAAGAAGCGTTCACAAACAGCTGAGTATTTTTAATGACAAAATGAGAATGGTGACAGGTAATGGTTCAATGACTCCAGAAAAATGCCTTATTGCTAGAATTACAAGTACTTGAACAATAATTTGTTTTTGTTTTTTCCAAGCAATATGCCTTTTTTGACTTGCAATTTGGGAAAGACCAAGTAGCCTGTAGAGAATCCCAAGAGTAAGGAGAGGGAGAGAATATAGTTAATGCTATGTTTTTAAAAATTTCACAAAAATGGTTTTCACAGATTGACGTCCATATTTTCTATGTGCAAATATTGGATATAAACATAAAGGTTAACTAATATATATTTCTTAGACAGAGTAGGTAAAATTCTAAAGATTTGTAAAATCATGATGAGTCTCTACATCTAAAACTGAAATCAATGGCAGCTGGAAGTGCTCAGCACTTCGGAAAATCAGATGTATTATAGTTAGAAATAAGGTTTACTTATCATAGTTCCATGAATCCCAAGTTAGTTTTCATATTTTAACTTATAATTAGCACTCCTATTCACTGTAGCAATCTTATCAGTGGAGTGAAATGTTTGATAGTTCAAACAGCTGAAATTCTAATTGAAACTATCTAACAGGTTAACACTGCATCAGTAATGAAACAATCGTACACTTTAAATTCAGAGTGAATAATGGTGAGATTTAACAGATTCAGTAAGGTGAACCTTCTCTGTTCAAAGACTACCAAGCATGTTTACTGCTTCTGAATAATCTGTGAAGGACTAGCTTATGAATACCCTTTAGTTCACCTATGCAAAGAATGTTTAAGATTTTAATTTTAAATAAATGATCGTTGTACATGCAAAAATAAGGGACTATCATGTCTTAATAATTTTCAGTATTAATTCAGTATGAAATACAGTGATTGTGTCTAACATGTTAGTGTATACAAGGCATTCTTCTCATTTCTTTTAGTTGTAACAGAGTAGTTGTGGATCAATAGAGAGTTCCTAGCTATGAGAATGTCAGTTCTGCATACCCATTTCCTCTATATTTCCCTACTCATTTGCTCTCCTAGGAGAGAGAGAATTTTTAATAAATTACCAAATATATGTTTTAAAATTTAATGTGTGTTTTGCATAATGTTTTTACTTTCTCCTTTGGTCTGTCAGAGTTCATGAAAAACAGTAAAGGAAATCGGGAGCATTCAGCCAATTTTTAATCTTAGTGCTCCTCGAGTGCGATATCTTTTTTGTTTAAACTCAAGTGAGTTCCAGCTCATAATATCAATGATATTAATTGGCCAAAGTGGAATCACATTTGGGGCAATGTAAGGCATTTCCTTCTTTAAACAAACTGTATGGTGCATTTATAGAACCCATTGCCATCATCCACAGCCATAAATTGGGACTGTAATTTGAGTGTCCATTGTGGAAGCATAAAGCAGTCAAACTAACCAAAGTAATGTTATAATAATCAGTTAATGACTTTGAGATACAACACTCCTCATTTTTCCTTTTTTATGCCTGATGTTTAGTGCTGAGAATTCAGTTCTGTTGTGAAATGTGCTGTCATCAGTATGAATATATTATTTTAATATTTCTTCTATGCTTCTTATCTTGAGATAGTTACTGAGGCAAATACAGAAAGCTGTGTATAGAACTAGCATGAGATCCTTTTATGATTTTAATCCTCTTAGGTGTTTAATGCATTGAGTTTATTAATCAAGCAAATATAAAAAGAGTCTTTCATGGTAACTGAAGGTGATGGCTGGCTGTACAGCCACATTTTTTTTTTAAATGTGAACCATGGTCTACTGGATTAATTTTGTCACCAGGGTAATAGTCATTTGAGAGACTGATATGTAGGAAATGTTTGTTTGAAGCTTTTCCACAGTTTGGGAGCCAGTATTTGCATGTAATTGTTTCCTCACATTTTCTACCAAAGGTTTTGTGTCCAATGAAATCTAGTATGGCTTATGGAGCAGAGTAATTGTTGTGGGTAAATTGTTGTTCCTGTGATGACAATAGCAAAATAGATGTGAACTGAATGATTAACCTCTTTCAAGAATGTAAATAAAGAGACTGTGTATTTTCCTATTTGTTGTGAGAAACAGGCAATTAGATCAACATCGGATTGACCATAGGTTTTATGGGAAAAGCCACCTGTTCATCTCGAGATCAGAATGGAATATTTTTAATAATTGTACTTTTTCCTTTTTCTGGTGATAGGATATAGTGAGTGTTCTTATTGCATGTGAATCTTTTTGCCCTTCTCGGGAACAAAGGAATTTACAAAGGGGTCCAAGGGAATTGGTGCTCAAATTGCTCTGAAATTCAGTTGATGTTGAGCACCCAACTTCCCTGGGTTCCTCTGAACATCTCAGCCAAAAAGTTGAACTGTGTAGGATAGAGATCCAGAAGTTGTCATCTATGCATTCCCTTAATAAATGGAGTGTGATCTGCTTCTCATCAAGCATAACCATGCTGATGTTTATTCAGTAGCTAAAGCATTATCCATTAGGTAATGACTAACAAATATCTGCCCTGAGTCAGAACAGATAGTATTATGAAATTGTTCTCAGTACCAGTGGAGTTAGGCCAGATTTACATCAGAAAAACAAAGTAGAAATTGTCCCATTGATAGGTTTAATTTAATAACTAAGAGTGAAATTCTGGCCCTATAGAAGTCAAGGGACGATTTGCTGTATTCTTTGTCATGAGATGCATAGAATCTGATTCTTTCCAGAGTTTTTAAAAATATCCATGACTTTTGACATTTGAGGATTTTTGTATGTGGTGGGTGCCTGTGATAATTAAGCCAATTTTACTGAGCATCTTGCGTGCTGCCAAGTTGAACCCTAGGCTGCATGAGAGGCAAACAGAGCAGGAGCTCAGAAAAGCAGTAACATCATGATGGCACAAAAGACCAGTTTTGTAAACTGGCAATGAGAGCTTTTATTCCTCCAGGAGTGATGAGTTTTTCTTTTAAAAAATAAATAAAAAATAAGGCACACAAACCACATAGTTTAACTCTTCATAACTGCCCACTCATTTAGTACAAGCACGGCTATTACTAAAATGGGAAGATAAAGGTAATTTGAGGTTTAAAGCCACTCTCATGACACTTGACTCTTTTTGCCATATTTTCATTGCTTGCCTTTTTTACCATTCCTAGCTCATGACTTTTCATACCAGTTGCCATGATAAAACATGAGTGCGATATCACACCCATGAATTAACGTGGTTTGAAGTATGTTTAGCACTGTAGCCTTTATATTCTGTATGCCTAATGTGCAGTAGATTTTTGTCACCTGAGTGTACTTTGACAGGAAGAGTATTATATATTCTTTATTCTACAGACCTAGACAGTAGTCCTGAATTTTGATTAAGGAAGTACTTTAGAACTTGATAGTAAATGTGAAAAGTGTGTATGGATAAATGTCTTAAGGGAATCTGGTGTGACTGATGATCTCTGTCCGTTTGTGGAGCTCTAATAGCTGGCAGAAAGACTAACAGGACTAATCCACTCATATGGGAGTTTCCTATTTGTTGTCTCATGAATCCAGCTCAAAAAATAAGTCAGTACTTTTCTCAAGAAAATAATCCCATCTAATCTAACAATGTTTTAGTATTGAGATTTTAACAACATTCAATTGCAGTCTGATTTTTAGTTTACAGTACACTGTGCATATAACAGATATCTCTGCATGTGAAGATGGTCAGAAAATAGGAAATTACTTTTTTGCAAAAGACATTTATGAGGAAAAAAGATTTATTGATGCATATGAAAGAAATTAATCTTGTGAAAACCTATTTACAGTACTCATTTGAAGCTTGTCTTTTAAATGGCTGTTCTCATATAATTAGAAAGGTGGAATGGGGAAGCACTTGACATACAGGGGACCAACTAGCTGAAGTTTAAATGCTAAAAATATGTGAAAATAGATAGAGCCCTGCACTGATACAAAAAGGTGTATCCGCAGCTGATCCGCAATCTACAAAAATTGTCTGCAGATATCTGCAGATTTGCACGGCTCTAAACAGCTCCACTGGTAGGGTTGCCAACGGAGACTCCTGGAACTGGGCTCTAACTCCCGGAGGCTACAGAAGGCAAACCGGGAGATTTTAGGCCGCTAAAAGTCCAGCGGGGCTAAGGCAGGCTCCCTGCTTGCCTTGACTCCACGCCACTCCCAGAAGCAGCAAACACATTCTTGTGGCCCCTGGGAGGGGGGTCAGGGAGTCTCCGTGTATTGCCCCTGCCCTGAGCGCTGACTCCGCAGCTCCCATTGGCCAGGAACTGCGGCCAATGGGAGCTGCGGGGGCAGTGCCTGCAGGCAGGGGCAGCGTGCGGAACCCCCTGCTTCCCCCCAGGGGCAGCAGGGATGTGCCAGCCATGTCTGGGAGTAGCGCTGGGCCAGGGCAGGTAAGGCGCCTGCCTTAGCCCCACTGCGCCACCAACCGGGAGCCGCCCGAGGTAAGCACTGCCTGATTGGAGCCCATACCTTTCATCCCCTCCTGCACCCCACACCTCCTGCCCCAGCCCTGAGCCCCCTCCTGGATCCAGCACCCCATACCCCCTCCCGCGCCCCAATCCCCTTCCCCAGTCTTGAATCCTCTCCCACACCCAAAACTCCCGCCCAGTGCCTGCACCCCGCACCCCCTCTTGCACCCAGCCCAGTGAAAGTGAGTGAGGGTAGGGGAGAGCAAGCGATGGAGGGAGGGGGGATGGAGTGAGTGGGGCAGGGCCTCAGTGAAGGGGCGAGGCAGGGGTGGGGCAGCGGGGCAGGGCAAGGGTGTTTTGTGTGATTAGACAATTGGTAACCCTATCCACAGGTCACTGCGCAGCAGACACAGGGCTGTGTCAAACCCCCAACCACCATCCCAACCCCACTTCTCCCCTGACACCTCCTGCCCACCCACCTGCTCCATCCCTGCCATACCTCCTTCCCCACTCTGGGCAGGGAGGCTACAAATCTGGGTCCTTCTATGCAGCCCTCCCTTGGGGGGCTCGGACACCCTTACGCAGTTATGGCGACTCTAATGCATGTAGCCATTGCTGTTTGTTCATTTAAAGAACAACCCCACCTTCAAAATGGTGCTTGGCTCACTCCCTTCTGGGAGTTGTAGTTTACCTCATCCCTCCGAGCAAGCTGGAGACTAAAACTCCCAGAATGCCCAACTCCCAGAATGCTGCTGCGTGATTCAGAGAACCGAATTGGAGCCTGCAGTCTGGGTGACAGCCACTCCATTTGGGTGAGTGTGTGCTGCAGACCCCTGTGCGGATACTAAATTTGTATCCGCATCTGCGCTGCAATCTGCAAAAATGCTCTGCGGATACAAAGCAGATACCCGTGGATTTTCAGGGCTCTAAAAATAGACTCCTTGCTGTGTTCCCGGACTGTGAAAGAAGACAATTGTGCAGCCAGTGCCAATTAAAGATATAAAATTGTAGAGCATGCAATACTGGACATTTGACTTAGCTATCAATTATATATAGAAAAGTCATCTCAATTTTTCCTCACGTTCTCAAATAATTTATTTGATCATATTTATTAAATAATCCTTGCCTGCTATTGCAGAAATAAAATTGTGGTTTTAATAGTTAATATTTTTCTGTTTTACTGATTACCATGTTTTGCCATTTGTAATTTTACTTTTCTTATTTCAGCTGAGTTTTCAGCACAAGATTGGGGTCCTTTATTGCAAAGCGGGCCAAAGCACAGAAGAAGAGATGTATAACAATGAGACTGCAGGGCCGGCTTTTGAAGAGTTCCTCGATCTTCTGGGCCAGAGAGTACGGCTAAAAGGGTTTAGTAAATACAGAGCTCAGCTAGACAATAAAAGTAAGTTGTAATTCTAACATGTGGGAGGAGTCTATAATTCTCCAAAGGTAAGCGTCTTTTGTAAATTCTGGCTCTTGTTCTATACACCTGGCCTTGGGAGTTGACTAGCAAGATTATATTATAATAATTTAAATTCCCATAGATGCTATATACAGAATACCTTAAATCTTAAAGGTTAATACTCTTTACTGTGACACAATTAGAGAAACTTTTGGTGCTTTAATCTTCTCTTGCTTTGTTGTAGCAACTTTGTGACTAAATTTATACCTATGTTATGTTTACAACTATGAAAAAAGAACTATGTTAATATCATTGACTCACATTTTACCTTCTTGGTTCTTAGTCTGAAAAGGAAAAGTGAAAGTTTATATATTGTTGAAGGGGAAGTGATGGAAAAGGGACAGTTTTTTCCTCATTTGATGTCGGATTTTGTGGATTAATGTTCATACTTGAAGAAAGACCCAGTATTTTCAATTAAACAAACATTTTCTTGTTCTTCATGTAACATCCAAACACGTACCTGATTTCTATGGTGTTTCTGTGGCTTGAGATTTGTTTCTAGCTCTTAAGTTTCATTCTCGTAGGCATTATAGATCAACAGTGCAAAAGGATAAGAAATTTATTGCATATATTTAGTTTCGGATAAGTTTCTCTTGTTGCTATTGATATGTTTGAAATATGGATATCAACCTAGTCTGTGTACCATAGACATGACAGTTCACTCTGCTGAAGCTCACATTGTTGGTGCATTGCCATTGACATGTTCTGACTGGGTCAATGCAATCAATGTATAACCATGAACACCTCAATTTGAGTTCGTCAAGCTGGTGTATGGTCAACAGAACTCATCTCTTTTAGTTTGAAGCGGTTTTTAAATGATTTTAACATCAGATCCACGTGATTTGGTGAAATACAGAGTAGGTATCTCTACTGCTTACATTTATTTAATGCTTCGTACTGCTTGGATTTACTTATTTCTGCTATAATCTACCAAGTGTCAGCTTTCAGCCAACCTGACTGTTGAAGTTGGCATGGCCTACAAACAGATATTGGAACTTACCAATATACTATAGATGACATAACTGGAGCATTTTTCATTAGCATAGTGTCTCTTTTTGAAATAATACTGCTGTTACTACTAGATTTGTAAGGTGGCCACATTCCTTTGGGATTTGCCAGGATAATGTTAATACAAATCTCTTCTTGATAATGGCATGGTTAGTGCATTCTATTTCAGTGAAGCATGTTATTAATTTCTCTTGTTTGACATTAACATGTAGAAATATTGTTAGCATATACTGGCTAGCAATACTTTGATTTGGCTCAAGTCTTCTGGAATCAGTACACACATTAGGAAAAAAATGACTCAATGATCTTTTGGACATTCCACAAGGAGAGTGTGACTGAAAATCGTCAGGCACAGTCTACATATCAAAATATATGCTGATATGATGTCATCAAATTTAGTGCCTGCAATGTTCTCAGTGCACACTTATCGTGATTTGCTATGAAAGCAAACAGCTGATACATTTTGCCCCATGGAGTTCAGTAACATAATTCGGTATGCTACTAACTGCTGTATGTTGTTGAAGATGCTATCAGATGCTATGTTGCTGTCTGAAAGGGAGTGAAATCAAGATGACTGACAAACAAGTTGTCTCTGGTTTTATGATGAGTATATAACTCTGGCTTCAGTAGACCCTTTTCCATTTGTGTAATCATATAATTCTTTTTTGCTGAAAACCATAGTGAATGTCACAGAAGTGCCATGCTTACCGTTAGAATAAACTAATCTTTCCATATTCTACAGACTGAGTTTAAAATGCTCTATGATGATCTTCCTTTTTTCCTATTAGCCACTTTTTCAGCACTTCCTGTACCAGGCATAATGGTACCATAACATTTGCTGTTGATGTTTTACATTTTCATTTTTATAGTGCTGTAACTAATTAAACTTTCTTCCATTCCTCAAAAGTTTATGAATTAATGTGACCTTTTTACTAGAGGATTATTTATCCTTCAATTGATCTGTTGCACAGTTTTCACTGTTTACTAGTTTTTATCATACATATTATTCTGATGAAAAAAGAACAGGAGTACTTGTGGCACCTTAGAGACTAACAAATTTATTAGAGCATAAGCTTTCGTGGGCTCTAAGGTGCCACAAGTACTCCTGTTCTTTTTGCGGATACAGACTAACACGGCTGCTACTCTGAAACCTGTCATTATTCTGATGGGTGTAACTGGATGTATCTGGGCCATAACATGCAGATCTGCAGCATATATTAAATGCAGAAAAACACATCCGTGCAACATTAAGGTTGTACAATTCTAAATTTCAAAACCAGGAAATGGAAAAAAAATTAAGGCAGCATTTCTAATTCTGCCATATTGCATACCCTGTATGTTTCATGATATGTTTTATAACATAAATAGTAATATAACCGGCTACATGCTTACACAGAAAAACAGGAGTGAAAATACTATGTACAACAGAGTCACGTTAACATTGTTCTTGGAACTTTAACTTTTTCATATCTTGAATTTTTCATTACTTTTAACTATGTAACCTTAAAGCTTTTTACAATTTATTTCCTTATATTCCTTAAAAGGAAAGTGAAGGTGGAAGAAATTGCTCTAGTGTTTGAAGTTCATATCTCACTAAAGTGAATTGGGGTCTTGCTTTTGTTGCTACCATTGTTTGGATGAGGATGCTGTTCCGGTTTTTCTCATCTCACTCTCTGATGGTGGCCCTGCATGTTGAGTTGGGGCACCCCCATTGGCCTAGTGCAGGGTTGGTACATCCCGTCACCCTGTCGTCGGGCTTTCCTGTTAAGTGGCTAATTTCAGCCAAGAGGGTCTCGGCCCCTGATGGGGTCACTTAAACGACTAGTCCGTGGTCTCTGGGCAGACAAAACAAACAAACAGCCTGGAGCCCTGCTGCCTCCTGGCTGGGGAAAGCAATAGTACTTGGTGAATTAGCCCCCTGGATGGGGAATAACAGCAAGCAGTCTGCAGCCCCTGGGCAGGGCAAGGTAAGCAAACAGTCTAGAGTTCTGCAGCCTCCTGGCTGGGGCAGCAGTGGCACTTGGTGAATTAGCCCCCTGGGCAGGGCAAAATGTCAATCAGTCTATGGCCCATGGGTGGGGCAAAACAAACAGTCTATACGCGTTACTTCCCTCTGGGCTGGGACATAGAGCAGGTAGCAGCTTCCTCAGCAGGCAGTGGCTTGGCTTCCCCTGCAGTCTCCGCCATCTGCGAGTCACCTGGACGGTAGTCCAGGTCTTCGGGCTCTACTGCCAGGAGCATTGCAGGAACCTTTCTCCTCTGTTGCCCGCCCGACTGAGCTGGGCTGCCTCCTTTTATTTGGCTTCTCCACCTGGATCATGCACAGCAGGGGCAAGGGGGCATGGTCGCCTGGGCTCACAATGATTTGTCTGCCCCCAGCAGCCCAGTGCGGGGTTGCTACACCCCGTTGCACACACTCTGACTCAGAATGGCTGAAGGGATTTTACTCAAACTTTCTGAAACAAAATTCATAGTCCGGCAGAAATGAGGTACTAAAAAGAAACGTTTTGGAAAATTATAAGCAAAAATTATGAAAACGTGTTTCTAGTAGCAACCATTCTGTAATCTTAATTACAATGGGCACTACCAAGTGCCCATTATAACATCTTCTGAGCCAAATTATTTCAACTTGTCCCAAATAAGGGGATCTTAAATTTACAACATAGACTTACTAGCTCATTTCCAAGGTACTAAACCAAAAGTATTAAACTACATAGGGATGCTACCTTAAAACAACTCAAATTACAGGTAAGGGAGCTGCCTCTCTGTAATAAATAACAGAAAGGGAGAAGCTGATATACCTCACCCTGATATAACGCAACCCGATATAACACGAATTCGGATATAACGCGGTAAAGCAGTGCTCCGGGGCGGCGGAGCTGCGCACTCCGGCGGATCAAAGCGAGTTCGATATAATGCGGTTTCACCTATAACGTGGTAAGATTTTTTGGCTCCCGAGGACAGCGTTATATCGGGGTAGAGGTGTATTATAAAACAGTATCCAAAGGTTTAAATGAGATTGTATTTCCAGGGAAGATGCTGAAATAAAGAGGAAAATAACTTAGGCTGAAATTTTGTGCTTATTTAATTAAAAAGCTTCAGTGGGAATTGTACTGTGTATATATAGCCTCAGTCCTGAAAAATTTACATATGAACTTAGTTTTAAGAATGTAAATATGGTATCGAAACCAGTGGTGATACACAGGTGTTTAAAGTTAAACATGTGCGTAAGTATTTTCAGGATTGGGGCCACAGACACAGGCCATTGAATTATGCTTAAAACACAAAGTTATTAAAAACAAAATTTTGAAAAATTAAATTAAATAAGAGTTAATTTTGTTTTCCATTTTAAATCTTTTTCAGGAGATACTAACATGGCTGTTTTAACTATGAGTTTGAAACTTGTCATACAGGTTGTCAACAGTTCAAAGCCCCATTTCAACAAAGCATCTAAAATATGCTTAAGTACTTTGCTGAATCCGGGCCTAAAATAGGTGAAATTAGTTTTGAAATGTAGGTTCTAGACAGGACCTAGAGTATAATTTGGAGAAAAGGAGAGTGAGTAAGTGTGGGGAGACAATATAATTACCGACAAAGAAATGAGTGAGCATGAAAGATAGGAAAGGATTAATGGCAGGAAAGGATTCACTAAATTATCCCTCTACAAGAAAACACTTAAGCACCTGTTTAATGTTAAGCATGTGTAGGTGCTTCCCTGAATAGGGATAGACTTAAAACAGTGAGAATATTTTATACAGAAACACTAGAATCATAGAAGATTAAGGTTGGAAGAGACCTCAGGAGGTCATCTAGTCCACCCCCCTGCTCAAAGCAGAACCAACCGCAACTAACTCATCCCAGCCAGGGCTTTGTCAAGCCGGGCCTTAAAAACCTCTAAGGAAGGAGATTCCACCACCTCCCTAGGTAACCCA